TTTAGGGTTTAGTGTTTAGGGTTTGGGGTTCTGGGGTCTGGGTTCAAGGTTGGTGGTTTGGGGGGTTTTGGGTTTAGGGTTCAGGGTTCAGGGTTCAGAGTTCGGGGTTCAGGGTTGGGGGTTCGGGGTTCGGGGTTCGGGGTTCGGGGTTTCGGGTTCAGGTTTCGGGGTTCGGGGTTCGGGGTTCAGGGTTCGGGGTTCAGGGTTCAGGGTTCAGGGTTCAGGGTTTAGGGTTCGGGGTTCGGGGTTCGGCGTTCGGGGTTCGGGGTTCGGGGTTCAGGGTTCAGGGTTGGGGGTTCAGGGTTCAGGGTTCAGGGTTTAGGGTTCGGGGTTCGGGGTTCGGCGTTCGGGGTTCGGGGTTCGGGGTTCAGGGTTCAGGGTTGGGGTTGGGGGTTCGGGGTTTGGGGTTCAGGGTTCAGGGTTCAGGGTTTAGGGTTTAGGGTTCGGGGTTCGGGATTTGGGATTCGGGGTTCGGGGTTCGGGGTTTAGGGTTTAGGGTTCAGGGTTTAGGGTTTAGGGTTCAGGGTGTAGGATTTAGGGTTCGGGGTTTAGGGTTCAGGGTTCGGGGTTTAGGGTTCAGGGTTCGGGGTTTAGGGTTCAGGGTTCAGGGTTTAGGGTTCAGGGTTTACGGTTCGGGGTTTAGGGTTTAGGGTTTACGGTTCAGGGTTTAGGGTTTAGGTTTCGGGGTTTAGGGATCAGGGTTCGGGGTTTAGGGTTTAGGGTTTAGGGTTCGGGGTTTAGGGTTTAGGGTTCGGGGTTCAGGGTTTAGGGTTCGGGGTTCAGGGTTCGGGGTTCAGGGTTCAGGGTTCGGGGTTTAGGGTTTAGGGTTCGGGGTTTAGGTTCGGGGTTTAGGGTTCAGGGATTAGGGTTCAGGGATTAGGGTTTAGGGTTTAGGGTTCGGGGTTTAGGGTATGGGGTTTAGGGTTCGGGGTTTAGGGTTCGGGGTTTCGGGTTCGGGGTTCGGGGTTCGGGGTTCGGGGTTTCGGGTTCAGGGCACGGGGTTCGGGGTTCGGGGTTCAGGGTTCGGGGTTCGAGGTTCGGAGGGTTCGGGGTTTAGGGTTCGGGGTTCGGGTTCGGGGTTCGGGGTTCGGGGTTCAGGGTTCGGGGTTCGGGGTTC